CGAACATTACATCTTTGCTGGCTACAATTTTGGTGTTTTTGATTGTTATTTATTTCCAAGGTTTCCGTGTTGATCTCGCCGTCAAGTACCAGCGTGTTCGGGGCCAGCAAGGCAACTACCCCATTAAGCTATTCTACACCAGCAACATTCCTATCATCTTGCAAACAGCATTGGTATCCAATCTTTATTTCCTCTCACAGCTGCTGTACAGACGCTTCAAGAACAACGTGCTCGTTAACCTCCTCGGTCAGTGGCAAGAAGTAGACGCTGGAGGTCACTCTGTACCCGTGGGGGGCATTGCTTACTACATTTCTCCCCCTGGTTCCTTTGGCTCTATTCTTGATGATCCTGTTCACAGCTTTGTTTACATCACCTTTGTCCTCGTATCTTGCGCTCTCTTCTCTAAAACTTGGATCGAAGTTTCGGGTTCCAGCTCGCGCGACGTTGCAAAACAACTCAGAGATCAGCAGATGGTTATGAAAGGATACAGAGACAGCTCGCTTGTGCAGGTACAACAACAGAAACACACAACACAACAACAGCTAAAGAACATATTCTACTTATTCCATTGCAGAAACACTCAAAGCATGCATGCAACCTATGATGGGTTTACTATACAACACAGTACATGAGCAGAGCCCGTGGCCGCGTAGCCGCGGATGGGTTGTGTGCGTGTTTGTATGTAGAGTAACATGCTTTCAGCAATATACTAAAACACATACCCACTGCTTGCTCTATGCACATATATGATGATGTGTATGATGGTGCGGTGTATGAAGAAGGGTGGTGAGGTGTATGATGAGATGTATGATTATAATGCACATGATGGTGGGGTATTGTGTGTGTGCGTGTGTTGATGACTAGCTAGTACGAAAAGCTATAAACTATTTCATATTTTTTTGTTTATTCTTTTGGATTCTGCTTGCTTAGGTGTTGAACCGCTACATTCCTACTGCTGCTGCTTTCGGGGGGATGTGCATCGGCGCGCTGACGATCATTGCGGATTTCTTGGGGGCTATTGGTAGCGGCACCGGTATTCTGTTGGCTGTCACAATTATATATCAGTACTATGAGATGCTGGCGAAGGAGAAAGAACAAGGTGAGACGTGGGCTCTTGTCTCCAGCAACAAACAGGATATAGTGGCTATTCATATTATATATGAATAATAAAATTTAGTTATAGTCATGCTAATTGACAGTAGTAGCATATTGTTCTCCTGCATGCATTGAGGTGTATCTTTATCCTAGGTGATAAGGACCCAGCTTTCTGTGTGTTTTCGGAGAGGGGTAAGGAGTGAT